GGGCACGCCGCGGATCCTGCCGACGGTCACAGCAGGTCACGGGTCAGGCCAGACATCCAGGGGCGGGATCCATCGAGGAAGGGCTAGTAGCAGGGGCATTGGATCAGAGGTCAGTGTTGACTTCTGGACGAGTGACGGAAGACCATAAGCCTTCGCATTTTTATACCAAGGCCTTGCCGCATGGAATGCACACGCCTAGCACAACAGGGGCAAGGAGACTGATCTAGAGCAAAAACACAGAAAGCTTTTCTTAGAACCTGAGAGAATGCCAACATTCATGGACATCGCGACAGGTCGACTTTCATCCTCGTCACGGTGCGGCCTCTGTTACCCACATGGCGTAGACGGTGAGGTGTTCAGAGACGGTCATCTCTCCATGGAGCGCGTCGTGCTGCGGACAGTAGCCCATCTCGCTCAGCGCCGTGTCCAGCTCCTGGCGAAGGCTGACATCTCGCGAGTGATCGCCGCACTGTAGCTTAACCAATGCGTCGCCAGATGTCACCGACTTGTCACCCGTCAGCATACGGAAGGTGGACGTTTTTCCCGCGCCGTTGACGCCCAGCAGCCCGAAACACTGCAACGGCAGCGCTACCTGTCACACGGGTTGGTAACAACTGAAGCATTTACAGCTTCGCTACGGCAATACAAATCAGTGATACAGAAGTAACAGGACGTGGAAATGCTGCCAAAGATGGCAGAAGGTGGAGATGAAAGGAACTATAATTTTCATAATTTCGACCATGCAACAGCATTCACTCACTTATAAGCTCGTCCGAGGTTGGGACGGAGGGTGGCGACCTCTCCAAGCCCATCCCCCATTTCCAACCCCAGTACAGATGGGGCGGGCACTGCGACCGGGTTCAATGCCTGCACCCGTCTACCCCTACCCCTCATTTCTCTCCCCTGGGGGCGGCCAAAGTGCTTACTGATTTAACGGTCTGGCGTCCAAATACTTCGTTATAGTTTGCAGGCCCAGAGCCCGGTTTGGCCTCCACCTGAGTCACCAAATTTTCCATCCAAAGATCCGATGGCATAACCCTGTTCTAAACTTTACCAGTTACCACTAAGCACTGAATCCTGGCTACCAGAGCAACAGCCAAAGGGGGAGGGGTTTCGGGGAAGAGGCACCTTGGACCCGGTTTTTCGTTTTTCACCACAGCGGGATTCCGATAGAAACTAGAAATAGGCGTGGTGCGTATTCACCGAGCTCCGGACCCCTGCCTCAATGAAATCCTGGCCAAGCTCTGCTGGTGACAGCCCGAGTGATACATGAAAACTGCGAAGCGTGCCACCAACTTAATACGTCGAAATCCCTGCACATGCTCTCCCTATCTAACTTCGTCTTCGCCAAAACTGCCGTGAGGCAAACAACACCTCCATCTGCGAGCCTCCGTAAAGAGGAGCAGAAGCGACACGTGTTCGCCACACTGATCTTGGGCAAACATCCACGCGAACGCCTGACCACGGCCGGCCGGCGACCGCCCGCTGCCCGTCCCCCCACCTCGCCCGGGACGACGCCGAAGCAGAGCTGGTCCACGGCTGTGCCGGCGACCGTCCGCTGCCCGTCCCCCCACCTCGCCCGGGGCGACGCCGAAGCAGAGCTGGTCCACGGCTGTGCCGGCGACCGCCCGCTGCCCGTCCTCCCACCTCGCCCGGGGCGACGCCGAAGCAGAGCTGGTCCACGGCTGTGCCGGCGCCGCGGTACACCTTGGTCAGCCGGTCGAGCTTCAGCACGTCGCCGTCGGCGGCGCCACCGACAACACGACGCCGCTCGGCCGCCACGTCCCGGTCCTCCGGCTCCAGCGGCTCCTCGGCCGGCGGCGACGACAGCCCTCTGGCGGTGGAGACGGACGCCATGTGTCACGGTGTGCCATGCGAAGACAGCGGGACAGACAGACGGCCGACGCCGGCTGATGTTCAATATGCAATGTATCCAGGTCACCGCGATCAGCCTGCTTTCAGGTGGGAGTCTGTCTAACGTTCGATGTGTCCGTTTTATGTCAGCTGACACTTGGGGCACTACCCTTAATAACAGCTGCATTGAAAGCCAAATGGGTCAAGTAAGAGAAGCGCCAACAGAAAGATAACGTCCGGACAACATCCCCAACATATCCCTGAACTGCTTGACCAGCGAGATGACACAGTTGTCTGTGCCGCCGCTGGCACGCCCGGCCGGTGGGAGCGGCGGCCGCCGCTGGCCGGTCCTCAGCCGTCGGTCGGAGCGCCTACCTGCGGCGGCGCCAATACAGCGGCCCGCAGCTGACACACCCGGCCGGTGGGAGCGGCGGCCGCCGCTGGCCGCTCCTCAGCCGTCGGTCGGAGCGCCTACCTGCGGCGGCGCCAGCACAGCGGCCGCCGCTGACACACCCGGCCGGTGGGAGCGGCGGCCGCCGCTGGCCGCTCCTCAGCCGCCGGTCGGAGCGCCTACCTGCGGCGGCGCCAGCGCAGCGGCCGCAGCTCCAGCAGCAGCGTCACGGCCACGCCCACGGCCGCCGTCACAGCCATGGCTGTCACGTAACGCAGCGACAGCCCCATGGAGAGCGGCGACAAGATCCGAGCCGTCTTGCCTGGACGGCGGGGGAAGAAGAGGAGGTCAGGACGCCGGCCCAGGCGGCCGGCGGGCGGACGGGCAGGACACGGGCGCGACGCGAGCACCACCCGCGCACGGCCAACCAGCATCGCAGCGGGGCGTCTCTGAGCTAAAAAGTTGCTCATACTGGACTGCGTGATGTAACCACTTGAGGGTAAGGCATGGCGACAGTCGGGCACGCTTACGCAAAAATACGACTCCACGTAGACCGAGCTTGCCAGAAAATAAGCCTTGCACAGCGCACAAAATGCACCATGCACACAGCAATAACAACAAAGTACCTGTCTTCACCAGGAAGTCGTTATGGTATTGATTGTAGGCAATCTCGAGCAGGCCACGACCTAGACAGTAGTTCGGCAGCACCAGGAAGACGGACTTCATCGCATTGACCGCCTGAAGAGGACACAGGCAGTCATACGTCAGGGCGGCCCGTGTCATCAGCACCCAGCGCCGCTGGCTGGCGGTGCTGGTCCGGCTGGTCCCAGCGCACGGCGCTGATATTCTGCTGATTGGCACGTCCTTGGCCCCAATCGCAATGAAACGCAACTGAATGGCCCGCAGTAGATTACCCACCAACCCTTAAGTCATGCTGTCCACGTTGTCAGATTGATGTACTGTGCGGCCAGACATCTCCACAATCCTGTCTAGCCAGTGCTCTGGCCCGTAACCCAGCAAACTGCGCGATAGAAATGTGCAAACCTGTACAAGCAGTGCCAGTGTATTCCACCAATCAATCACGTTCAGCAAATGCAGGTTCAAAAAGACGAGCACATAGGAACTCCAAAACACAGACACATCAAACTGCAGTGTCTGAGCCGGGCAAGCTTACTTGAAGTGACATCTTCACACGGATAACGATACATCGCTCCACTACAACTGAGCCTAATCCTACACTCCCCACTCTCAGAGGCTGGCACTTGCATCCGCCGACCGAGCCCGAGCACTGCCGGGCCTCTCAGCCGCGAGGCCCAAAAATGCATTTAAGGGGACGGATCTGAGCACCCTCCCAGCCTTCTCAGTCGACAAAGGAAACAAGGTCTGGCCCCGTCCTTCCCACGCGTCCCTCAGTCTAGCCCACACGAGAGGCGCCGCTGCCTTCCCCATCACCAGAGCCACAACCTGACCCGCCGATGTGGCCACTGTGACCCTTGTGACCCTTCTGACCTGCTGGTCCTCGATACTCTCGAACAAGGAGGTGGTGAGCAGCGCGGCGGCGCCCAGGAACAGGTTGAACATAACCACGGCGATGTAGGCCGAGCCCGGCTCGCGGAACAGGAACGACGCCGGGTACATCAGAGGCGTCATCGACCACCTGGGGCGGGGGTTCGGTCACACACCAGGTCAGAGGTACAGGCTGGCGCCGGCCCAACCAGCCAAACACGGCAGGCAATGTTGACAGCTTTGAAAGCAGATGAGAACCTCGGTCAGGGCTTGTGCCATCGATGCCGTGTTAAGTCATGGCGTGCAACAGGCAATACGCTTTTTGGCGGGGCGTTAAAGCACGGCGTTATTGTTTCCTGATGCACTAGTATGCTGATGCAATCCACTGCATCTCTCTGATGTAAGTGACTGTGCTGGCACAGCACGGCCTACAATGCTGCCGAGAGCCCAAACTGTCGAGAACAAGCAGGCCTTGCGCTCAACTGACGTCCTACCGACAAAGCAGTCACGCGCCGGCCCGCTTTTGTTCATCGGCCTTTGAGTCCCAAATGTCAAAACACGCCTGCCAGCGGCCGAGCTGCCACCTCTGACCAGCCGCCGCCCACACACCGCAGGTGACGTGTCATGGCGACCAACCGGGACCGGCCAGTCCGCCGCCAACCGGCGAGCCACGAGCTGCGAGCAGCTCCAGGAGCCCGCCCTGCCGCCCGCCTCCGTCCCCCGCTCAGCTATGGCGCGCTGGCTGCTCTGCCTGACGGCGGCGCTGTGCGCCGTCGGCCGCGCGGCGTCCTGCCGCTGCGTAGACCCCGTCTCCTGCCCGGGGGCGCTGGCCTCGCGGCCGCGGCACTGCAGGCTGCCGTCCGGTGGGCCGGGCGTCTGCTGTCCCTTCCTCGCGCCTCCGGGCTCCGCCAACGGCGCCCGGTCGGCGTTCTCGTTCTCGGCGCCGTCGCTGCACAGCCAGACACTGCTCCCGGCTAACGTGGGGTCGGGCCGCTCGGCGCTGGACGGGGCCTCGCTGCCGGAGGGTGCGCGCCGCTTCCTGCAGGCGTTCGACCTGGACACGGCCGACACGGGCCCGATCCGGCCCAGCGCGGCGGCGGCGGCTTCCCGGCCGACGTTCTTCAGGCCCGACGGGACGCGGCCCGCCGCCGCCGCCGCGGGGCCGCGCGTGTCATTCTCGACGGTGGCGCCGGCGCCGGCCGCCCGCACGCCGGCTAGCGGCACGACACGCGTCAATTTCCTGAACGCGCGCACCTCCTCGCGCTCTCAGCGGCGAGGCGGCGCCGCGCTGCGGGCGCTGCAGCAGGTACAGGCCAGGGCGAGGCGCGCACCGACAGCGGCCGGCGTCAGCCCCAGCGCCCGCCCACCTCGCAGCCGCAGCTTTTTCCTCAACGACGGTCAAACAAACCGGTTCAACTTCCAAGACGTGTTCCGGCCGTTTACGACGCCCGCCCCCCCAAACGCAGCGCGTCCCCGACTGCACTCCGGAGCCGGCCATCAGCTGCTCCTCCTCGGCCAAGTACCGCACCATCAACGGCCAGTGCAATAACCTGGGTCAACCGCGATGGGGCAGCCACTTCCGCGGGCTGCGGCGCCTCTTCGACAGCACGTACGACGACGGCGTGTTCGCGGCCCGCAGCCTGTCGGCGGCCGGCGGCCCGCTCAAGTCGTCCCGAAAGGTCAGCGCGGCGGTGTTCAACGTGGACAACAACCCGGCGCCGATCTTCACCATGTCCGTGGTGACTTTCGGCCAGTTCATGGACCACGACCTGTCCATCTCGCCCATCTTCCAGCGCGAGGGACCCGACGGCAAACTGTCGCCGATCGAGTGCTGTGACAACAATGGCCTCGAGCTGCCGGCCAGCCTCAAGCATCCGCAGTGTCTGCCCATCTCCGTGCCCGCCTCCGACCCCTTCTACAAACAGTACAAGATCCGCTGCATGAACTTCGTGCGCAGCATCCCGGCGCCCGACCCGCTGTGTCGGCCGCGGCCAGCCACGCAGATCAACGAGCTCACCGGCTGGATGGACTGCTCGCAGGTGTACGGCACCACGGACGAGAAGGCCCACGAGCTGCGGGCCTTCAAGGCCGGCCTGTTGAAGACGAGCGCCGGCAACCTGCTGCCGCGCGAGATACCCCAGCCGGCCACCAACTGCACCGGCCGCGTCTGCTTCATCGCCGGAGACGAGCGCGTCAACGAGAACACGCTGCTCACGCTGTTCCACACGGTGTTTGTGCGCGAGCACAACCGCGTGGCGCGTGAGCTGGCGAAACACCACAGATGGACCGACGAGACTCTGTACCAGGAGGCGCGCCGGATCGTGATCGGCCAGTGGCAGCACATCGCCTACCACGAGTGGCTGCCAAGCATCGTCGGTTTCGCGTACGCGCACTCGGTCGGTCTGACCGGCTACCAGCCGAACGCCTACGTCCCGTCCCTCAACCCCGACGTCAGCAATGAGTTCTCGGCGGCCGGCTTCCGGCTGCACTCGATGGTGCAGGGCGTGATCGATCTGGTCTCCAGGATCGGCTCCATCAACCGCCGGCTCCAGCTCACCGACAACTTCTTCCAGCCGGACTCGCTGGTGGTGTCCAAAGTCTTCGCGGAGATGGCGCGTGGCCTCACGCGCCAGCAGCCACAGACGTACGACCGCAGGTTCGAGCGAGCCATCCACGGCAACCTGTTCAAAGTGGGCCCCGTCGGCCTGGACCTGATGGCGCTCAACATTCACCGGGGTCGCGACCACGGCATCCCCACCTACGCCACGGTGGCGGCCCGCTGTCACAACATCCAAATCTCCGACTGGTCCCATCTGCTGACGCTGCTGACGGCCCAGGACGTGGCGCGTCTGAAGCGCAGCTATCACCACTGGCGCGACATCGACCTGTTTGTCGGCATCAACACGGAGCGGCCGGCGCCCGGTGCGCTAGTCGGCCCCACGGCGCGCTGTCTGATCACCGACCAGTTCCTGCGCGCCCGCTATGGCGACCGTTTCTTCTACGACCAGGCCGGCCAGCGGGGCAGCTTCACCACCGCTCAGCTGCGCGAGATACGCAAGGCCAGCTGGGCTCGCTTGCTGTGCGACAACGTGGGACGTGGCTTTGACGCCGTCCAGCCGCTGGCCTTCATCAAGCCCATCAACTTCCATGGCCTGAACCCGGTGGTTAGCTGCAGATCGCCGCGCATACAGCGGCTCGACCTGTCCAAATTCTGAGACCAATGTTAGAGGCTAACATGTCTTCAGGGCCGTTCCCGTTCCTCCTGACGTGTGTGCGCAGAGCGCGTTTAGTGCTTAAGTTAGGGACACCGCACCCAGTGCCGTCCTCGGCCGGGAATTACATTTTCCGTTCAGTTTGTCACAACCTCTTGCCATATGGATTAATAACAAGTCATCCAAGACATGCGATGTGGCGCAGTGGGCTATCAATTAAACGCCTTATCTGAATCACGGTATTCACAATTACCTCCGCGTGCTCCACGCGACATGCGTAAGGCATTGAGCTAGCGTTCCAAAGCCCTCGCCGTTAGACCACGCAGCTTTAAAAGGAGCAGCCCGAGACCAGTGTGGACATCTCAGACTGGGCCAGCACCAGACCGGGGTCCAGTGGCTGACCTCGCTCGCTCGCCACACTGACCCGTAGAAGAAGACGAGCAGCGTGACGGCCGCCAGGTTCGAACCGGACGTGTAGGCCGGATCGTTGAAGGCCGCTATAATCAGCAGGCAGGCGGCCGACGGCACGCTGCAGTTGACCTGACGAGCACGCACGGGGACGTACCGAGGTCAGAGGAGACAACAACTGGACCCCAGGTATGATCCCAGGTCAGCTGACAACCGACACGTGTCAGGGGAGGGTCTGGCGACCGGCGGCGCAACCTCCCTCCCCTCCCGCACACCCCCGCTAGCTTCCCCCCCCTCCCCCACCCCCCAGCATTTGCCGAACCGGTTGCCAAAGACCAGAGGCGCACGTCACTCTGCCGCTCTGTGACGGCCCCTCGCTCGCCAGCCCGGAACACAGCCGTCAGAGAACCACGAGGCCGACCTGTCACTGACACGCGCTCCCGCCAGACCCCCTCCCCCACCCCCCGGACCTTCAGGCAGCGCCAGTGGGGGGGGGGGGGGGGGCACGTGTCGCGCCACGCTCTCTGACACACGGCTGAGCGGGGGCCCCACCCTGTGGAGGTCTCGCACCAGACGGCCCCGGCGGCAGGCGGCGGCCGAGGCAGCCGGAGAGCGTGCCCGGCAGGCGGCGGCCGAGGCAGCCGGACAGCGTGCCCAGCGGGCGGCGGCCGAGGCAGCCGGAGACCGTGCCCGGCGGGCGGCGGCCGAGGCAGCCGTCAGCGTGCCCGGCGGGCGGCGGCCGAGGCAGCCGGAGAGCGTGCCCGGCCGGGCGCGGTGAGTCAGGTATCAGACGACTAAGCGCGACACAAAGCGCTGCTGGCGCACCGGAGAGGGACCAGCGCGCGGCCGATGCCGATATAACACAGGCGGTTACCGCGGTAATCAAGGGATTTCACCCATCTCTCAAAGTAGCTATTCACTGCTGCCAGCAGGCAATGACTCAACCGGTTCTAATGATGGTTGGCAGAGCCTAATGACTCACCAGGTCCCAATAGCAGTCAGCAGGACCTCGTGACTCACGTCCGCAGGACACTCCGCAGCACACAGTGGCTCGCTACGCCTTAGCGGCATTTGCTGGCGACTGGCGACTCACCAGATCCCAGCAGTAGTTGGCCAGCCAGTAAACGGTCCGATCGAGGCCGCACAGCCGCTGCAAGTGTTTGCTGCGCTGGCGCTGCTCTGTGACCAGCGCCAGCACCAGCGAGGCCGGCACGAAGCTCAGCGCCACCAGCACGAACAGCGCGATCAGAATGTCGGTGCCCTGGCGGATCTCCTCCTCCAGTGTGAATGCGCCGGTCCGGGGCAGCGGGTGGTTCACACACGTCACCCCTGGAGCGACAGCAGAGGGACATTACACACGACGCGTCGGAAGCGACAGCGAACGAACGTTACACACGGCGCGTCTGGAGAGACGGCAAAGGGACATTACACACGGCGCGTCTGGAGCGACAACGGAGGGACATTACACACGGCGCGTCTGGAACGACAGCAGAGGGACATTACACACGGCGCGTCTGGAGCGACAGCAGAGGGACATTACACACGTCACCCCTGGAGCGACAGCAGGGGGACGTTACACACGGCGCGTCTGGAGCGACAGCGAACGGACATTACACACGGCGCGTCTGGAGGGACAGCAGAGGGACGTTACACACGGCGCGTCTGGAGAGACAGCAGAGGGACGTTACACACGTCACGTCTGGAGCGACAGCGGAGGCACGTTACACAAGCGACAGGGGGACACAGCACGGATGGAGGACGGTTAGGGCATCGCGCGCTACGCCAAGGGAACGAGGCGTCACTTGTTGCGCACATCACTCCTGGAGTCTCAGATTTCGTCTAGAAAGATGAAGAACGGGTCTCAGAGGTGGGGCGTTACAATGACAATAGGTGGGGGCTGCGGGACAGGGAACAGACGGGCGAGGCACGCAGTGGGAAGGCGAACGTGGGGGTCGAAAAGGACACAGGGCACAAACTGTCACGCACGAGATGAAACAGAACACATGTGCATGTTCGAGTTCATGCACATTATCACTGTGCATGAACTCGAGAAAGTTGGCAGTCGTGCTTGTGCCAGCGCAAAGCGCATCGAGGGACGTGGGATATGGTGACATTACGAGCTGTAAAAGTCTGGGCGCAAAATTAGTACCGAGTGGGCCTCTCGCTGAGTGACAGCCGACGAACAGAAGGTCACAGGCGTCACTACCAGGACATGGGGTTACCCATCACATTTAGGCTATTGGCACCAGCGCACACCTGAGTCGTCACCTTCGCACAACGAAACTGCAAAAAACCCACAACTGAAAAGCACGACGCAGGAAAACCCCGAGACAACACAACGGCCGCGCGGCCCGGCACTGACCGTAGGCGGCCGGGTCCCCGGCGGCCGGCGGCAGGTTAGCCCGCAGCACGGCGTTGTTGAGCGCGTTGACGTAGGCGGGCACGGCGTGCAGGCCCTTGTGGTTGAACCAGGCCTTGGCCCGGCGACGAACGGCGGTGCGGCGGGCGGCCGGCGACAGATGCCGGCCAAACTCGGGCGGCGTGGCCGCGTGCACCAGGCCTAGGCTGAGGCCGCCGTACCGGCGCAGCCTGCCCGCCGCGGGTCAGAGGTCAGACGGGAGGGCGGCGGCGGGGTCCACGCCGGTCAGGGGAGAAGGGCAGAGCTGACGCGGCGTCGGTGCCGTTTGCCCGGCCGCAGCCAGGAGGGCAGCAGTGAGGGACCGCCTCACAGCCGTACCACGCTGCCACTCGTCCGGGGACAGGTCAGCAAAGACACGCCGACCCAGCACCAAACCGTCGCATTCTTTCGACTGGGGGTGGTGGTGTGGTGGTGACTTGGGTTTTAAGGGCGCGTCGGCATCAGGGCCATTTTGCGCCCACTCGATGACGGTTATCTACCTCTGCGACGACGCGATAATTATGTTGTCAACTGATAACAGGTAGCCTCACTGGCGCACTTACACTGAGGGGTGAGTGAAAATAACGTCAAAGCCAATGTGTGCTAAAAATGCGAGTATATCTCCAAGTTCACCACATGGGTCTCGACCGAGTAACCGATGAAGGGGCGCTGGAGGAAAAAAATCGTCGCCTCTCCGTCTCAAGGCGCCGACATGAGACGAGCACATGTTCAACAGACAACCGGTCCCCGCATCTATTACAACGTGGCACATCCCTACGCGTCAAGTAAAACGAGTGTGTGGCGTATGTATGACCCAACCGAAGCCGACAAAGGGCGACTTCCTGGAAGCGGCTTCGGCGATGGGAGGATTCCCAATCACCCAGTTGGGGCTTGATTTCCCTGAAAGCGTGGAGGTGTTGGTCGAACATGTGCTGCCACGCATTGCGGACGTATTTGGAAATGACTGACTTCAGATCTCGAGCGGGTACATACATTGGTATTGGGTTTCTCTCACACGCCGCAGCTTTCGCTGCGGCGTCGGCTTTTTCATTCCCCATTATTCCTATGTGACTGGGGATCCACATAAATGTGATACGACAGGAAGTGCTGTCCAGCCATTCCAATTCCTCCCAAATTGAGCGAGTTAAAAATGAGTGGTCACGCGACATCGCCGTCGGGTCTAATGATAAAAGTGCACTACGCGAGTCGGTCAAAATCACTATATCCCTTTCAGGACGACAAGCAACGTACTGAAGCGCTGCTAAAATGGCAAACAGTTCTGAGGAAAAAACTGACATGTGCTGCGGGAGGCATAGACCTACGGTATGGTCACCGCAAACAAATGCGCAACCCGTTCCTGTTGAGCCCTTGGACCCATCGGTAAATATTTGTAATGAGTTCACGTATTGTGAGATCTGTTCCAACGAGTACGTGAGGAACTCTCATGGTGCAGTGCCATTTTTAAGATGCTGACAGAGTTTCAAATCATACTTAATACTCAGACGTCTCCACGGAGCTGGGTCCCGAAGAGTGTGCGGGGCAATGTCATCCAGCGTAATATCCGCCTCGTCCAGGCAGTCCCGGACGCGCAGGCACATCGGCCGCGCTGACGTGGGCCGCCCCCCCAAGAAAGAACGAATCAACGTCTGAGAGAAAATGAACTTAAAGGCTGGGTGATCCGGAAATTGTGAAACCTTTGTAGCGTAATTTAAAGTAAATCGTTGTCTCCTAAGAGGCAAGGGCGGTTCATTCGCTTCCACCAGCAAGTTTCTTGTTCGGGTCGTACGAAACGCCCCAGTGGCTATACCAACACATGTATGGTGGATTGTGTCCAAAACCTGCTTTGAAGATGTAGGAGCACTATCGTAGACAGGACTAGCATAATCGATGACTGATCGAATTAGAGCCCTATAAAGGTTCAACAGGGTGCTTCTATCGGCTCCAAACGTCATACGACACATTACTTTCATGAGGTTCACGCGCTTGAGACACTTAGTCTTAACCATCTTAAAGTGTTGCTTAAACGTGAGCCGACGGTCAAACGTGAGGCCCAGGAAACAAATGTCGTTACAAACTGGGATAGTGGCATTATACAGTCGCAACTCCGGGTCTCTACAGCCTCTAATCCGTGAGCAGAAGTGCGTGCACTTAGTCTTGGTGGTCGAAAATTTGAAGCCATTCTTAAGGCTCCACTCAGATGGTCGAATCAGGCATAACTGAAGCTGCCTCTCAGCAGACGTCGTTGTGGATGCCGCACACCAGATGGCAAAGTCGTCCACAAACAGTGACCGACTGATGGTAGGCGGCAGACAGTCGGCGATATCATCGATCATCAGCGCAAATAGGGTTACGCTAAGCACGCTCCCTTGAGGAACACCGTTCTCTTGTTCATAGCGATCAGATAGCATGCCACCCACTCGGACACGGAAGAATCGACGACGTAAAAAGTTTTCAATGAAGAGTGCCATGTGACCTCGGAGTACACACTTGTGTACTTTGCTTAGAATGCCATAGCGCCAGGTGG